ATCTACATTCAATGTTAACTTTAGAACTTGTTTTCAGGAAAACCACAGTTTTCAAAGTGTCACACTAACTGGCCACAGTAAGACACACGTCACATACTGTAAAACTGCAATGATACACTTTTCAAACCCTCACACATATAACTAGAATATATTTAGTCAACCACAGTATTAGTACAGAACAGTTAAAGTGTGTTTTAGTCATTTGTGTGGCTTTGCTATTGTGTTCTTAGAGGCCCTTATTCACTAGTGTTAGATTTGTATTGTTGATCGTCATTTATGCTTAGAAATATCTACTCATATAAGCTTAGAGTTTTATAATTAGTTGTAGATTGATAGAGGTTTGATCCATAGTAGTCTGTGGAGACTCTGTGCCTCCCAGAGTGTTCTGGCATTCACACCCACATCCTGGGAGCATGGGAGAGGTCGTACCTTGTTTTCTTGTTTTATGGCAGGATAAACATATCTATGTCAGTTTTAGTCTAAGTGCCTTTTGTTTAGATGAACTGCTGGACTTCCAGACCAGCAGGTTTAGGGACGTCACACACACACACACATACTTACACAACGCACAGGCAAGGTACTCTTTGTGTGTATGTATACGTCATATGTTAATGAACCTATGTATATTCATGTGACCTCAATAAAAGAGCAGTGTTACGGGGGAGCGGATGAGAGCAACTGGGGTCAAGCGACGGAACGGCGCTTGTCGTGGTTCTCTCCCTCATAACAAAGAACTTTGCCTACTTGGAGTTTAATGCTTTTTGCTGTGTCACTGAATTGTCTTGAACGTTCCAGCGAATGGGTTTAAGCTACAAACCTATCATTAATTGGCCTTTCGGAGCCGGAGCCCTGGAGTCGACATTCACCGAGGGGAGAAGAGACACGCTGAAAGACTGCCGTCAGCCAGGAGAAGTTCCTGCAGTAAAGTCCCGAGACGTGAGAATTTGTCATCGGGCCGGTGGATTAGCTGTCTGTTTTCTCTCCTCGATAAATGATGATCGGCGGGATTCAAGGTTAATGCTACACACAATAAGCAACACCAAGTAAGTTTCAAGTCTTTGCCACTGTGTGCGGCAAATCACGCATCCACTGTGTGAGGTTGCGTTGAGACAATAGGCCTAATTTTTGTTGTTTGTGTGCGAGGATATTTTTTGTTGTTGTTGTGTTTCTGTGTCTTTGTGTGAGTGGGTGTAAGCAGCCACGTGGTCTGTGACGCCAGCTGTTGTTGTTATTATGGGTTCCCAAGCAACCAAGAGTGCGTCAGAGGGTGACGAGAAGTTTATGATGAAATTCGCTCCCGGCAGTGCAAAGTATTTAGAATATTGGTACAAAAAATATGATTTTGGGTGTAAACTGCTTGCTGGAAAATGTTAGACGTTTTCAGAAAACACAGCAGCCTTAAAGAGCGTGTGGAGAAGGCCAGCCCACATCAGCAGCACTTAAAATGTGCTCTGGTGAATGGCTTTCCCCCACCCCTTGCTGAAAAAAAATGTTTAGATGAATCTTTAGCTTGCCCTAATCAACAACAGCCTGTGCTCCAGACCATTAATTTAACCAGTTGCTAGAAGTAATCTGCATTAAGCTTAGGGTTGCTCAAATTCAGTACAATGACATATGAGATGGAGTGATATAGGTAAATATTTTAAACTAATGACATGCATAGGGGCACTTGACCTGTTTGAATGGCACATATCATCAGCCATATGATTTATTTACGCAGATGAAAAAAGGAAGTGTGAATGTGCCTGACGTCACAGTGTGTGTGTGCAATGTGTAAAAGTAATTGCCTCCAATTGTGAGAGCGGTGATTCTGCAGGTCACCAGCTATCATAAAGGAAAAATAGAATTAAAAAGAGACAAAATTTACATTGTAGATGAAAAATAATAGGAAAAAGGTTTTGTGTTTATCAGCCAAGATCAACTACAATCTCTTTTTCTGCTTTTAAGAAAGGAGAGTTGACAAACAACAGAGAGAGAGTTGTGTGTTGGTTAAGCAGTGATGATAATAATGAAAAGTCTCAGGGTTGTCACTTTCAGATGAAAAGCAGACCTGAATCAATTTTCCACATGCAGCGGTCGGAAGAAAGTTATAGGTTAACATCATTGGAAACGTTCAGGCCAAGTTTCTGGCTGACTTGTTTACAGCACCATGTGTCCCTCAACCTCACAAGCGAGCTCTCACTCCTCCCTGAAGACAAGGAATCAGTTCCAAAGAGCAATAACATGACAGATAAAGAGACAGCAGCAAATTCCTGAGCAAAGAGACCCAGCAAGCAGCAGCAGTGTGGACAAACAGCATCGGAGAAGAAGAGCAAACCCATCATCCTGACTGATTGGATGAATAACACTGTGTTTCCAACAAGCTGCAAATTCACTGTGCCTGTGAAAAGGACTTTTGAGGAGACTGTTGGAGTTTGACATTTGCCACTTTTGGAGTAAAATGGCAAGAAGAGACAGTGGAACACAGGACAAAGCTGAAGGAGAACTGCCTGCCATTGTACTGTTGAAGTGGGAGAGGACAACAGAGTGAAAGTAAGCAGTAGCGGTTTTAGGTACGGGCGACACGGGCGGTTGCCCTGGGCGGCAT